ATATAATTTAGAAACTTAAATATTATTTAAACAAATATAAAATTTTAATATTAGATTATTTTAATATTAGATATACAAATACCTAAAAGCTCAATTATATGAATACTTAAATAAAAAAAATCAAATTACTCATATTGCAATTTATGAAAGGATTCATAATTCAATAATTACTAAAAAAAATATATTTTTTCTGAAATTTATCAATTAAAGTTATATATTTGATGATTTATCACCCATGTTTAAAAAAAAATTACCGCTCAACTTAAAATTTAAAAATAAGATCGTTCAAACAAAGTTTCCTAAAATAATACTCCGGCGGCAACCGCCTCAAGAAATCATCTACTCGTCTACAGTACTAAGTCTGCCCGCCAACTTCTCCGACGAACTTCTTCACCACGTCAACACTCGGCTCCACTACCATCTTCTCCCACAACTCCTCCGCCGCCGACGCCTCCCTCCGCCGCATCAAAGCCGCCGTCGCATCCACGCGGTTCAATTGCCACCCCTCCTCCGCTTCAAACCTCCCGATCTTCTCCCTCTGCCGCCTCGTAAGCCTACAAGTATTCTCCTTTATCGCACCAATCGCCTCCGCCAGCACCGCCGCCCTCTCCCTTTCATCAGCATTTCCCTGTCGCCGGAAATAGCTCTCCATCTCCGGCAAACCAATCGCCTTCCTAACCCCCTTCGAGTAATCCGCCTCTGGTTTAAACATCGCCCGAGCTTCTTCCACCAATCCTTCCTCCACCATTTTCTCCACCCGCTCCGAAACGAACTCTTCCAGCGCTTTCCCGTCGGCGTCGACCCAAATGAAGCAGCATTGGTATCCTCGGTCGAGCAAACCGTTATCGCCGGCGACCATTTCTTTGATGTAGGAATTAGACCCGCCGGCGACGATGGGAAGGTGACCGCGGGCGGATATTTCTTGAACGGATGCGGCAGATTTTTGGCGGAAATCCACGGCGGTGAATTCGGAGTCCGGGTTGACGCCGCCGAGAAGATGGTGGGGAACGTTGAAGCGCTCTTCGGGTTTGATTTTGTTGGTGATGATGTGAAGGTCGTCGTAGACCTGCATCTTGTCGGAGTTTATGATCTCGCCTGCGAAGCGGAGGGCGAGGGTGACGGCGAGCTTTGACTTGCCGGTTCCGGAGGAGCCGAGGATAAAGATGGCTTTTTTATCGGTTTTGGGGGTGAGTTGGAGGAGAGGGAAGGGAGGGTGGTTGTCGGAGGAATGGTCGGAGACACATTGATCTCGCCGGAATTTTCCTGTGGGTCCTGTTGGAAGAATGATTGTCTTTTTGAGGCATAGAAGAGAGGCCATTGAAGCAGAAGGATTACGATGTCGGTGTATTGAAGGAGGAAGAGAACAACAGAGATTCATTCATCATTCATGCCCGCCTATATTTATATATAAGAGGGGTGTGGATGTGATGGAAATATAATTTTGGATTAAGGCTTAGTTTGGGACTGACTTTTTTTTTTTTTTTTTGTTGATTATTGAAGTAGTTTTTTAATTATAAATTTTTAAAAATAAAAAAATATTTTAAGAATTAATAAAAAAATCATCCTAAATGAAGTCGGGGGCGACTTTCATGTTGCTTCTTAAAACAACTTTTTAATATAAAAATTTTTACACAAAAAATCTGCTTTAAAAAGCAACAAAAAATAGTCTAAAAGAAAGCCTAAATCTCTAAGTGAAGGCAAATTATTGCATCCGATCACCGGACACAAAAAATAGGTCCAAACATCCAATAAAAATTTGCCACGTCACTTGCGCTTTTGACTTACGCTTTAGTTACGCTTTGACTGCGCTTTACCTGCGCTTTTGACGCGCTTACTTTAAAATAATATTTTACTAATATCCAGACCTATCTCTCCGTCCGGTGACCGGATGTAATAATTTGCCCTAAGCGGAAAGTTTTACCTTTATCCCTATTGTTTTGAAGGTATTTACATAAAGACCAAGTAAATTTTAAAGATTTACATTTTAAATACCAAAAAATATTAATATTTATTTATATGACATATTAATATCTCAATTATGTTGAAGAATATGCATAAAAATATGTAATTTATGAAAAAATTGATAACAGTAATAATTTTGGCTTGGTTTATATAAACTGACTGGAATCCCAAGTGGTGTGATCAGAACCACTAACCTAAGGAATTGATGGTTCAAAATTTCATTACAATGATTGGTCTTTTAATAAAATAACTAAACCCAATTGGGCAATGCAAAACAAAATTTGATTGCCATTGAGGTGGTCCATTGGTTAACATTAGGGCATGCTTGCCTAGTCGATAAGGTTAACCAAGTCCAAGGTATTGCATTGTTTGGTCCATTTGACCGATTAGGAAAGCGAAGCCTAGTAGGTCCATTATAATATTTCCTAGCACAATGTGCTTGTTATACTAAGGTTTTGTTTGGGACAACTTTCTTATTATTTCTTGAAACGACTTTTTAGTGCGGAAGTTAAAATTTTTGTACTCGAAAGCTGCTTTAAGAAACAATAATAAATTCATCACAATCAAAGCCTAAATTATTTAAGTTTCATTTGAGATAATTTTTTTTATTGTTTAAACTTTCAGATCGTAACTATAATTTCTATTTGATCATTATTTTTTCACAACTTTTAAAAAAAAAATTATACTTTATCTATAACAACTTTACAAAACAATACAAAAGATGTCCCAAAGGAAGCCTTGGTCAATTTGGAATGTGGGTGAATTGAACATTGTTAGGTTCCATTGGGTTATGTGCAATAGAATACACTAGATCAAGTGCAAGGACAAACCAATACTAACAATTTAGAAATCATTCTTTCATTGGACATTGATAAGTCCTAAAATATGTATTAAAAACTTTTGCTAAGACCACAACATCATATAAATCAATTACAACTAATGATCTCTTAAATAGTCCTATCCTAAATCATCATGGTCATTTAGGCTTCGTTTGGGATAGCTTTCTTATTGCTTCTTAAATTAACTTTTTAGTACAAAAATTAAAATGTTTGTACTAGAAAACTATTTTAAAAAGTCATTCCAAACAAAACCTTAAAATTTTATTTAGAAGTTCTTGCACTTTACCAAGGCCTATGTCTTTAAAAAATCAATCTAAAAACTTTGCAATGATCCTTCTATGCCTTATGATTTTTCTAAATTATAAATATTTTTAATATTCACAACTTTTAGAGACAATTATATATTCTAAAGACCTTGTATCTAAAGATGTATGTAGGAATTATGGGAAGATGTACATGAAACTTATGGGGTTATAGCCTCTCTAGAGAATGGTAAAATATATGCTTCTTTTAATAAAGAAAACACCCATGAAAATAACGGGTAACTCTCTTAGGTCTAAGATTTTGTTTGGGATAACTTTTGACTGCTACTTTTTTCTTACATTCAAAAAAGTTTTGTACTAAACCATTACAGACGAAGCCTAAATCAAATTCATACGTTTAGAATTGCAATCTCTCAATATGAGAAAGATCCGCATATGGATTTTATATAAGATCATAAGCAAATTCAAAACTAATCATACTAATTCACCCCAACAACATATAAAATCAACAAGATAAAGTATTCCTGCAATGAAATTTAAAGAATGTAATATATGAAAATTCCATCTAAGATTTGAGAATACATAAATGAGATAGAAAGAAGCAGAAAGAGACCTATCATAAACTTGCATAATTATAGATTAGAAAATGCAAATTATTTCATCATTTCATTAAAAGCAATAATTCTAAAAAAAAAATCATCAACTAGAAGGAAACAACACAAACAATAATAAAACCAGAGCTAGAAGCTGTTCTACATATGTTAATGTCTTTAAGCAACTGATTATTTGTTTTTGCATAGAGGTACAGGATATGATTAACATTGAGCAATTACTGCCGCTCAAATTTGCTATAATGTGGTTACTATAATAAAATTATTGTATAATTTTTTCAATATATATAAAATAATATTCATAACTTTTAAAATAATTATTTTTCTCACAACACCTTTATAATTATTCTTACAAATAGACACAACTGCTGCAAACAAACTTTTAATGATAATTAGTTTCTCTAAATTCTAAGTTGGTATAAATAAAGAGCATATGAACAAAAATAATAAGAAGTAACATTATTTTTATACTTCTTACTTTTTTAGTATAAAAAATTAGAACACCAACATGATTGTAATATCATAATCAACAAATGACTGTTAGTAAATAACAAAGCATTCATAAGAAAAGTACTACCCAAAGTTTTAAACATTTATTCAATAATGCATTATCAAGGATTTACATTATTGGTTATGGAAATATATAAGCAAGAAGAAATGCTTATATTAATGAAACTCATCATTCGTATAATCCTTTAAACATTTTTAATTACCATAGAACATCGGTGAAGACTATGAAGATCTCTTCAATTCAAAGAAATTGAAAAAGAGAAAATGAAACAACATCATTTAAAAAATTAACTTGAAATAAGAGAAAATGAAACACGTAATGGTAGTTCATTTAGCCTCTCTGTAAAAAGGCTAAATCATTCCATGCTTTCAAGGTTCAAAAGTGAAACCATTAAAGAGTATGAGAGCTAGCCAATATAGACAAATAATTTGTATAGGCAACTAATCTTCAATCATAATTAATACATATATTTGTTCACAATTTAGGGTTTAGGATATGAAAATTAAAATCAAACCCCACATGATCTTCACATGGCTATGCTCGAATAATTCATTTCAGTTACCTAACTAACAGTAAAGTGGTCGAGTACTTCTTATAAGATATTAAGTGTTGACTATCAATTATCCAATAGTAAAAAAAAAATTCCGCATTATATCAAGTCAATTTCTTAAATGATATCATTTCATTTCCACTATTTTAATTCCTTTGAATCAAAGATATCATCATAGTCTTCATTGATGTTCTATAACAATTGAAAATATTTGAAGGATTATAAGAAAGATGAGTTTCACTAATAAAAACTTTTCTTCTTCCATCTATATTTCAATTACTAACAATACAAACTCCTGATAATGTACTATATAAAAAATACTAAAAACTTTGGCTAACCTTTTCTTAGAAATATCTTATTGCCTACTAACAGTCCTTTGTTGATTGTGATGCTACAATCATATTAATATTCTAGGTTTTTATGCTAGAAAGCAACTATAAAAACAATATCATTTATTATTCTTTTTGTTCACATGCTCTTCATTTATATCAACTTGAAATTCATAGAAAAATTAACAATCGTTAAAAATGTATTTGCAACAGTTATATATATTTGTAAGAGTAATTAAGCATAAGGTTGGTGTAAGAAAATTAATTATTTGGAAAGCTATGGGTATTATATATTTTTTTTCTTTTTTTTTTACTTATATAATAATTTTTTATAGTCATCACACTATATCAAATTTAATTATAAAATTTTATTTAAATTTTCCCAACAAATATTTTTCATGTTTTTAGAGTAGTAGTAACTGCTCAATATTAATCCTCTCTTATACCTCTACACGTAGAAACAACTGATCAGCTTCTTAAAAGTATCAACACCTACATAATATCTCTCAAACTATCTTGATAAATAGAGAAGCAAAATGCTAATTGCTTGACCAAACAAATTGTCAAACAATTCAAAAATTAGACATGCACCAACACTACTAAAGCCAATATTATCCCTAACAGTAAGAATTAGTTTTCAAACTATCCAAACTTTCTCGATCATTGTCCTCTAAATGCAATAGTAACTTAGGATTCTTGCATAATACATGTTTGTGTTCCTGACTTCCATTCAAACCCCGTCCTCTCCAACTATACAAAATTACAATACTCTTGTAGTCTAAATGATAATAAGTTTATCGACGCTATGGAGACGACTGGGTTGATGTGGTTCTAAGCACGAGTACTCCGACCGGTAGCTTTTCACCGGCAATAGCTTTTGGCTCTGGCTCTATTACAATTGGTGTTGTTTCCTTCTATTTGATAGTTTTATTTTTAAAAATAATATTTTTTATGAAAATGATGAAACAGTTTCCCGTGGGAAAATAAAATTTTGAAAAACCCACATAAACTTAGGGTGTTCCTATTTTTTGTAATCGAATATAACATTAAGAATAACATACTATCTCGAAATATAGAAACGATATTCTACAATAGATTTAGATACAAAAATAGGGTTTAAAAAATCTTTTACTTTCGTAATAAAAAACAAATAGAAAAATAACATCATGCCTTGAAAGACAAAATTGTCATTCTAAAATAGTATTTGGAAGACAATAGTGAGATTTTAAAAAATTTCCATTTTGGTTATTAAATACAACAAAAATCATATCATATCACCTTAAAAAGGTAAAAATAATATTCTACAAAGGTATTCAAATACAAAAATAGATTTTAAAAAATTATTTACTTTCTTAGAAATTTTTCCCCTATCATATGAAAATATGAGTGTTTATTTTAATCTAGAATTACAGGTTCCCTACAAGTGCATGCCCCTGTAGTTA